ATTCTTATCGGGCTAGGGGAGGAGACAAGTTCTTGAGCTTGTGTTTTTATGAGCTGGTTTGGAGTTCCTGAGTAATTTATTATAGGTCTTCCTGAAGATGGTGATGGAATAATGTCGATCTTGTTCTTTCTTTTATTAATATTAATATTCATTATTACCTGTCTTTCTTGCTGGCCCTATCTCGATCCCCCCTGCAAAAATTCACGAGTTAAGAAATCAGGAAGGAAGTTAGTATTTCCCTTTAGAGGTTTGATATCAAAAGCAAAGGGTTACAGGATTGCTTGCCATCGGGCAAAATTTTATTTTGAAACTAAATTTTTTACATCTTTTAGAAGGGTGTCTTTTGCTGCTTTACAATCAGTTCTTATAAAAAAAAATTGATTAAGAATATCACTCTGAAACTTTGTTACACATTGGACAATGGCTAAGATTTCTTTTTTAACTGTTGAATAATTTTGCTGAGTTTTATTCCAGGCTTTTGATGTAAAGCGGACTAGTTGTTCTGTTTTTTGAATTTTTTGTTTTAAAATTCCTCCCAAACCTATCTCAGAGGCATCACATTCAATTATTTTAAAGGCATTAGGATTAGACAGTGTCAGTCAAGGTAGTTTCTTAGCTTTAATTTTTATTTTTCTTACTGTCATAATATGCTCATCAGTCCAGTTGGGTGGATTCTTTTTTAACCTTTCAAAGAAAGGTTTAGCATCAATGGCAAGATTTTCATAGAAATCCGAAATACAGTTTAGACAACCTAGAAATCTTTGGAGTTTTATTTTATTCAAAATAATATTGGGAAATTTGCTTGCAAAGTCTATTTCTCTATCAATTGGGATAATACTCCGTTGGAAAATATTGTGACCTACGAATCTAATTTTTGTTTGGCTAAGACTAATTTCTTAGCTGAGACTACCAAACCCGAAGCTTTGACTGCATTTATAAATACATTTATGTGTTTTAAATATTGCTCAATGCTATTTGAGAAAATCAATACGTCATCTATATAAACAATCATAAATTTCATATGAGGATTGAAAATATTATTCATTATATTTTGGAATTTTGAAGGGGCAGTTTTTAGCCCAAAAGGCATTACGTTCCATTCATATTGTCCGAAGGGAACATTAAAAGTAGTCTTATATCTGTCTTTTTCAGCTATCTGTATTTGCCAAAAGCCTTATTTCAAATCAAATTTAGAGAATATGCAAGCATTTACAAGTCTATCAAGTAGATCTTTTTTTATTAAGTATTGGATATCTAATCCACTTGAGTACCTAGTTTAGAGGCTTATAGTTTATTACCAATCCTGGTGCTCCTCGCTCTTTTTCTGAAGCTTTCTCGACATAGAAGGCTGAACAACTCCACGTGGATGAGCTCTTCCTAATTAACCTTTTCTGGATTAATTCATCAATTTCTTTTTTACATATTTCAAGAAGTCTTGGATTCATTTGGATGGGCCTTGCCTTAGTAGGTATTTTATTTTCATTAAATCCTTCTTCATAAGGCAAACTTACTATGTGCCTTTTCCTGTTCCAAAAGGCGTTTGGTAGGTTTGCACAAATTTCTTCTTCTATTTTTCTTCTGATATTTTCAACGTTCTTATTGTTTTCTGGTAATGAAAGCTTCTCATCTATTACTTTGTATTTTACTTCTTTTTTGAGATGACATAAAAATTTCTTTTTATTTTCTATAATCTGTTTGATGTTATTAACTTCTCTGACTTTTGGTTTATCTATAAATTCGAATTTTACACTATGACCTTCTATGGTTGATTCAATTCCTGTACTATCTATTTTCAAAGGATATAATAGATTTAAGAAAGGAGTACCTAGTATAACAGCTTGGTTTAAACGCTTTACCATAATGAAGGGCATTTCAAAGCAATTACCATTGTTACATATTGCAGCATTAGACAACTTATATTTAATTATTAATCTACTACCATCCACTGTATTGAGTATTTGCGTTGTTTTGCTGAAATATTTAGTAGAAACTAGTCTTTCATTTATACAATTAAGGTCTGCTCCTGAATCTATTAATGCTAAAGCTGTATTCCTTATGTACTATTATTCTTATTAAAGTAAACCACTTCTGAGTAATAACTTTATCTAATAGATTTACATAATTATTATCTTGTATAGGTTTATCAGTCGTATTAGATGATTCCGAGGTTTCAATAATTTGGGGTACGGTGTTTTTATGGTTTCTTAAAAGACTATCAAATTCTAATTCTTCGTTTGTATCATTATCAGAAAAGTCAGCACTTATCTCTAATATTCTTATTCGATTATTAAGATGCTGTACTTCAGATTTTACCTCATTTATTTTTTGTTTTAATTCAGAAATGGATGGTTCTTTCGGGACAATATTTTTTTTATTAATTCTTTTAGGTATCTCTGCTAGACTATATTCTTCTTGTTTTTAACCAGAGGGACTGGCTTCTTTTTTGTTTTAGCTACTTGTATATATTGTGTTAGCGCTTCCTTTTTGGCTTCTGGGTCAACTATCTTATCTATTAAATCGATGATAAAATTTTCTTCATCTGTGAGGGTATTAAGAGTTTTGCAGAAACAATCTTCCATTTCTTCATCAGAATCTGAGCTACTTAATATTAAATTTTCATCTTCTATTCTACCAACAAGATGCTCAGTATCAGAGCTTGAAGTATCATTATCTGATTCTTCTTCTATTTGAAGTATATCATATATCTGGGTTCTGATCTCTTCTTCAAGTTGTAGGGCATTGAGTTTCTTTTTAATCCTACACTTATTTATGTAATGTCCTACTTTTCCATAATTATAACATACTAGAATCTTTCTTTTTCCTTTTTTAAAATTATTTTTTGGGACAAACTTTCTAGTAAATTTGTCCTTAATATCTTTCTTCTGACTAGATTTATACCTTTTATTTTTATTTTTTCTTTTATAAGGTTTATCAGATGAAGGTACAATATTATAGCCAAATTGCTACAAAAATCTCCTAGTTCATTTCGCGAATTATGTTTTTCATATTTTTATTAGATGCACCTCACCAAGATGTACTAGTTGTAGAAAAAAAAAAAAAAAACAACTAACAGACAG